GACACACTACTAGGGTATCCTGAGGATCCCGAAGGCTGCTGTCTCAGCTGCCTGCTGTGTAGAGGCACGTGTCTTCACTATCAGCAACCGATTACAGGCTCAACCCGCACATCTTTCAGAAAAGCACTATCCTTGCCCCACTCCGTTTCAGCATATTAGCCAATTATCTGACACCCCCTCATCTAACGTACAAACACACTTATGATAAACTAACAATACACAGGTGGGATTCAGGGTGGAGCTGGTAGAATCTGAGTCATCTGCAAGCGTCCAAGAGGTGGTGTTTTGAGAGGAAACCACAGTGAACGGCAGAGAGGCAGGCTCCATGTGGCATCCATCTGAAGGGAATGTTGAAACTACCAAATTCAGGAAATATATAAAGCCCTGTGTTGGGAGAGGCCATCAGGAAGACATGGTCACCAGTTGTCCCTCAGGTTGGACCCAGGAAATTGAAGGTTCCTCACTCCTTCCCTGGTTCTTGGAATGAGCATTCCACTTGCCTTCTGGGCTCCAAAGATACAGCCTTGAGATAGTAAAGTGATGATGAGACTATCTGGACAATGTCTGTGACTGAACCTAGTTAAAGGCCTCTATGTAAACTTTTAAGATTATGGCAGCTAGATTTGGAGAGCTACTTGTCCTGTGGTCACCCAAGTAAGGTCCCTTCCTTATTAAAACTGCCCCCTATCAATCTAAAGTGGTCTGCATCTTTCTTCAGTCTCCTCTGCTGGTTTCAGATTACATCCAGAAAGCTCCCAAGGTTGTGAAGCAACACCCTGGTATCCCACACTAGAACAGGGAAATGAAAAAAACTAAAATTCATCCAGTGTATCAGACAGTGTTAAAGGATGCCTAGGACCTTGCTATACTTGTGAAGTAAACCAGGAATGATTAATGGACTGGAACATAGTTTTAGGAAAGTGAAAATTAGGGAGAGAGAGGAAGAGAGAGAGAGAGAGAAAAGGGAGAGAGAGAATGAGAATAAGAAATGGAAGGTATACATTCCTTTACTTGTAGTAACACACACACACACACACACACACACACACATAGCACACACTGTTAGATAATAAGTGATAAGAAAAACTTAAAGCAACAAAGACCTAAATAACAGGGTGAGAAGAAAAGTTACCTTTTTAGGTAGGATGGTGGACAGGAAAGGGCTCACTGAGGAGGTAATATTTGACATAAGATCTGAAAAGAGGAGATGCATCCAGCCATGTGCTTAGCTGTATACTGGAGACAAGCGTTCCAGGTAAAGAAAATGACAAAGGGCAAAAACTCTGAAGCGGGGCATGTCTTGTTCAACCCAGGAAGAGTATGAAGGCCAATATGGCTGGAACAAAAGGAGCAAGGTGGGGAGTAGGAGACGAGTTTGGAGAGATAATGAACACTCATAGACAGCCCCTTTGAATATTTATGCTTGAGTGATGTAGGACACCGTTGTTGTTTCTGAGGGGAAAAGTAGGATAACAATCTATTTGAAATGTGTTACTCAGGCTGCATTGTTGAGAATAGGCTTAGTGGATCTGGCCAGTCATTTAACTATGGCTCCATAGTCCACGGTTGCATGCAGTTTGCTGTGGAGTTATAATGTCACAGACATTTTCAGAGATAGAGTCAACTTTCACTAATTTATTATGTGAGGCAAACAGAGAGAATAGGAATGAGAGTATGTCTGCAACTGTCTTCACAGATGACAAAAGAAGTCAGTCCAATATAAAATTCGGTTCAAAGGAAACATATGATCACCTCACAAGTCATATTTTTACCTAAAGCTTAGCATAATCTACACGGTAAAATGAGATTGAAAATGGTTGAATTCTAATTCACTTTCAGGGGAGATTTTCTGTCATTAAGCACTTTGCCGGCAATAAGATTTTGAATAAAAAGAGAAAAATTCAATTCATTTAAAAAAAAACATCAGAGGGTATAAAAATTCATAAACATGTGCAAAAAGACTTCTCTATCCTACCATCTGGGAAATTATAAAGATCATTTTACACAAATTCTATTGCAGGTGGTTGAGCTGAAAACTCTTGACATTCTGATAGTTATAAGAGCAATAAATGGTATATTCACAGGGCTTAGAAAATATGCAGAAATACAAGCATGCCGTTTATTTATAGTCATACTGTAATTTGCTTTAGTGTACAATTATATGAAAACAGATGTTAGAGATTAGTATGTACTGAAAGAACAAACTTCATCGCATGACAATAATATACCCTTTATTAAAAATAAGAGTTCTGAAATAATAATATATACAATTGCTATGAATTAATATGGTCCTTTTAATATTAAGCTGTTAATATTCATTGGTTTATAGTTGTTTTCACATTTCTTATTGATTTCCTTTCTGCTTGCACTAAGCTATCTGTTATAAACTTAGATTTATTTAGAAAAACACCTTCTGCTTGGTTAGAGACAATCAGAATTTAGGCTGTAATGGCGTTTCATACCTCTTTTTGATCCCTGTAGAGAAGGAAGTCTCAAGTTGACCTTCATGTACCTATTTAAGGAAGGCTATTATTGAACTGCTGTACTTGATAAGGTGATCTAATTCCACAGGAATAGTAAAAATGCAGAAGAGGGTAATCATATTTGAAAAAGGGTAGGCTTATTCAACCAACAGAAAATAGAGAGGAGCAAAGCAATATTAGGGATGATGTTCTCATTTAGGATAAGACGAAAAGAGGTTTAAAAATTGACACTGGTTAAAATTACCCCAGAATAAATTTTTTATATTAATTTACTTGTAAACAAAGACAAAACTCCACAATTTCTACCTTACGTTCTTTGTGGTAACTGGTCACATATTGAGCAAGTGACTAATTTATATCACGTTTGAGATTTCTATTAGAATACACAGGCATATAATGTTCATTTATAATATTTAAACCACGACTATAAAATACACATCAATTGGTATTAGTATGAGTTACAATGACAAATTTTGATTAAGAAACAAAAGTTAGGGGCATCTGACTTGGTCAGTTGGTGGAGCAGGCATCTGTTGATTTCAGGGGTTGTGAATTCAAGCCGCATGTTGCGTGTTGAGATTACTTAAAAATAAAATCTTAAAAAAAAAAAGAAATAAAGGGAAGTGTAATGTTTTTCCTTCCACAATCTCCATTTAATTATATGCATTTGACTTCCAAACAGAGTGCCAAGACCATAGAAAAACTTATAATTGAAATGATAGACTTAACAGAGAACACTAGAGAGCTTCCAGAAGTTTAAAAAATCTTAAATTAGAATGCTAAAGCTAGTTAGTTCAAATGCAGAGTGTTCCAATCTTCTCAAGAAACTGTTTCCTTCATACCTGTGGCCAATAATAACCCACAAGATATAAGCTTTCATCCTTAACTAACCTATCTCTTAAAATTACCTATATTCACTGAATAAATGTCAACTAAGGTAACAGTTTTGTGTTAGATTGAGATAATGACAAAAAGTAATGAATATTTCCTTCCTTCCAAGAAATATTCTCCAGGAAACCTGCAAGTATTTTTGCATCCTCTTGGAGGTAAGTACAACATAGTATGATAGTAAAAAGGAAAAGTAGGTTAAGAAGTGTTTTGTTTTGTTTCTTTTCTCTTTTGGTGGGGTTTAGCAATTAATTGATTGTTGGCAACTTGACCAGAGAATTGTCGCTGAATTGCTGGACCTAACCTTAGATTATATTAAGTGGAGCAGGTTGAGATAACCAAGACATTGAAAGAAATGAGATAAAAATGAGACTGTCCCAGGAGGGAATAATGAGTTAATTGGCAGAAATCTTAAAATCCTAAAGGGACCAAAAGTTCTCATTGTAATGCTAAGGCAAATAGTTTGGGGGAAAAAAACCTTTTGCATAAATTCTCATTCAACTAGTTAAGAGTTTAAAGAGAAATGTTCATCGGAGCTCGGAGCTCGTGGGTGGCTCAGTTGGTTAAGCATTGGACTTCCGCTCAGGTCATGATCTCAAGGTTCCTGGGCCACATCGGGCTCTGTCCTGACAGCTCGGAACCTGGAGCCTGCTTTGGATTCTGTGTCTCCCTCTCTCTCCCTCTGCCCCTCCCCTGCAAGTGCTCTGTCTCTCTCTCAAAAATAAATAAACAAGCATTAAAAAAAAAAAAGAAATTGTTCCTTGTTATTTTTCTAATACATATGCATATAATATAAATAAACAGATAAACTAATTTCAGAAGAATTTTTATTTTAGTGACATTTATATTTAAGTATTACAAATACATTTATTTAATATGGTGGCTTTTATTGATTATTGCAGGTCTGAATACTCCTAGACTTCATCCAGCCTGCACTATTCTGAAATCATTTTAATGGTCAGATCCATACGTTGTTAATAAGTAGGCCCTCAGTCATCACCTTATCCCACATTCAATAATACCTATTAATTAAAAAAAAATGCAAAACTTGGGAATAAAGGGGGAAAATGATTGCATTTCCCTTCAAAATCATGCTAGAACATCACCTAACAAAATCACCTCAGAGTTAATTGTCTAGAAGAACCTAATTTTGTTTGACTTGTATTTGCTATTGATTGGAAACCAAACTCTAGTGGTTAATTTGTAGACAATCAATCATGTGAAACTGATTCCTCATCTGGCAAAGTTACTTCCAAAGGTTACGATTTAATTCTCTTTGAGGATACAGACCAGTTTTGTATGTCAGTGAGCAATCTTATTCTGTCATCCTTTGCTCTTTACTTATATCTTTTCTGAACCAAGGTTTTTGCCATTCTGATTCCATCCTTAACAGGTTTAGTAGAATTTAGCCATATAGTAAGTATTCATATAAAAATCATATTTTGAACATTTTGAGAATTTAGTTTTTTTATACCTGGGACAGTCCAAGGGGACATTTAGCATGTGATATTACCTTCTGATGGGCCCTATGATCACAAGTTATAACTATTTTACTTTACCCATCATTCATATATAGATATATATAGATATATATTAGTTTTCTATTGCTACATAAAAATTACCACAATCTTAACAGCTCAAAATAATACAAATTTATTATCCCACAGTTTCCATGGGTCAGGAGTCTGGCATATCATGGCTGAGTTCTGTGCTTAGGGTCTCATATGGTTGAAATTGAGGTGTCATCTGGGCTTCTGTTTCATCTGAAGTTCAAGATCCTCTTCCACGCTCTTTTAGAGGGTTGGTATAATTCAGTTCCTTCCAGATGTAGGACTGAGGCCCCTGTTTTCTGTTTGGATATAAACAAGGATTGGTTTGGGGTCCCAGTGGGTACCCACTATTCTTGCCATGTGACCTTCTCTATAATATAGCATCTGTTCCTCAAGGTCAGCAAGAGAGTATTTCTGTTGCTTTCAAACTTAGACTTGCTCTTTCTCCTACCTGTAGACCATGTGATTAGGTAAAAACTACCCTAATAATCTACCTTTGATTAACCTAAAGCCAATTGATTAGTAACCTTAATTACATTGGCAAAAATTCCTTTCAAACTATAATTTATCACAGGAGTGATATATCACATTTGTGCTCACATTCAAGATAAATATGTGAGTTGATGGATGGGTTAAATAATTCAGTGTGGGAAATCCTCTCACAATTTATCTGCATATAAAATAACCACATTAAATAAATCACTTTAAATATCTTATGATTTTATTTGTCAAAACATCTCAGTAAATGTTAAAAAAAAAAAAGACGGTGTAGTTTAAAGATAGACAAATAGATCAGCGTAACAGAACAGAGTCCAGAAATATACTCACATACGTATGGACAACAGATTTTGACAAAGATAAAAAAGGAATTCAGTAGACAAAGTGTAATCTTTTACCAAATGGTACTAGAACAGTTGATATTCATATGTGAGACAAACTTCAATCTATACCTTCCACCACACACAATTACTTAATTTAAAATGGATTACAGACTTAATTGTAAAATTTAAAACTAGTTAATTTCCTTAAGAAAACATAGGAGAAATCTTTGTGACCTCAGTTAGGCAAAGATTTCTTCAATAAGGCACCAAAAAATGATCTACAGGAGAATACACTGGAGTTCTCTAGCAATGTATCTCTCGCCTATTTTGTATTCTATGCTGTAAATTCTAGTTGTCTTTGTCTTCCTAGACCATCACTTCCTCAAATCGGGGAGTCCATTGTGCTCCGCCTGAGTTTCCCCTCCCTGTACTGTAACCTATTTTCTCTCCAGGCAGTTATTAGCCAGGACAATCACAGGATTCACCTCATTTGTTTCCCATCTTCAGGGGTCATTCTCTGATGCCCATTGTCTTGTAAACTGTTGTTCCATATATTTCCATTTGTTGCTTCTCTGTTACTCAATTTCCTACTTTAGACTCTTGAGTGTCTCTGCCTCCCTTTCTCTTGTTCTTTCCATCTTCCATTCATCGTCATGCCCTGCAGTAGGCTTTGCTATGATTTTGAATTCTGGTACCATTGATCTTTAGGTGCCTCAGTCTCCTGATCTACAAAATAGTGATAATAATAATATTTAATAGGATTGAGAATGGCGAGGACTGAGATAAAAAGTTTTAAGCACTTGTTCTCATACTGGCTTTTCTCATCTTGAATTTTTACCCTCTTTATCTATTACCTTCACCTAAGATTAATGATGCCACTTCAATCACAGAGATATGGTGGCTGCTATTTCAGGTCAGCCATAGTTACCAAATTGTTAAACACCTTTCACATTTTCCAATGATGTTTATTACAATGTATAGACATAGGGACAAATGAAAACTCAGAAAAGCCCAACTTGGTGATCTGTGATCATCTATGTGAGAGAAACTCATATTTGCACTTATGGTATAGGAAACTATTAAAAAAATAGACATGATAAAAATAATTTAATGGAGAGTCTATGGGATTTTATGTTCTATGGGTAATAAATGAGAGGGCGAATCATCATAAAATGGGAAGAAAGAGAAACTATCTGATTTGACATGGATTGGGGAGATACCAATCAAATGATACCATTTTGAGATAAGTGAGAGATTTAAGTGGATATATCAATTAAACAAATTTATGAGTCTGCAGCTCAGAACGTAGGTCTCCACTGGGGAAAAAAGTGAGATTATTCACTATATAAAGATATTTAAATTCATGATGTGATAACGCAGAAGACTGATTATCAACGACTCGTAAAAATCATCATTTTTAGCCATCAGCAAGGACAAAGATTCTATTGATTGGATTAAATACATTCCATGTGAAATAACCCAGATCTTTCAGACATGGATTCAGAAAAGGAAAAATCATCACTCCCACTTTACTATATGCACTGTGGTTGAGGATTAATGAACACGGTGTGAACAATGTGTGTGGAAACATTCCCAAAAAAGTCATTTGCTTTTGGGGCTCCTCGGCTTTGCATATAAAAGATGTTTGCATTCCTACCTCTTATTCTCCAGGCAGCTATTCTCCAAAAGAATCCATAAAGTCTCAAGTGCATACAGGTAGCAACCTAGGCATGTGGGCAGATCCTAATGAAAAGCCGTTTCTTTCTCAGTAGAGAATAACCACCCTTGTCCTTCCACTAGTAAACATCGCAGTGTATTTATAAGGAAGTAGAACCCTAGATCGATCTTTCACACAGTAGTGCTGAGAAAGGTAGTAGCGGTATTATCCATTTCTTGAGGCCAATTTCACTTTTTATTTATTTTTTTTTCCTGGCCAATAATTTGTATATCATTGGTGGATTTCAAATCAGTCTGCCTAATATTTTCTCTTGGTGGTGGGGGGGGGGGGGTATAGAGGGTACCATATAAATAGGTTTTGTTCTATTTAATTCTATTAATGGATATGCAAATTTTTCATTACATCATACTGCCGTGACATTAGAGATTTAAAAGTTACACTATCATGTTCTGTTCATTCCCAGTAGAAATTACCTGTTCCCATGTTTCAGTGACGAGGATAGCTATCCGAAGCCACTAGTCAGTAAAATTGCAGATTCTGTCTGGTTTATGGGTATGTGCATGTCCAGGATATCATAATATAAGCTTTTACAGATATAGTTTCCCAGATATTATATGACATTACCCATTTCTCCCCACATAAGAACAAAATGGTGTTGATCCTTTATGTGCCCAGTCCCAGTTGAATCATAGGAGAAGGAGTTTCTTTTTTCATCTTTGGAATCTGAGATATTAGGGAGTGACAATCATGCCTTACTCCTCTGGGGCATCATCATAGTTGATGTTATCCATAGCGTCCCCTAATACATACCACCTTATCCTAGGTCATTAACCTTACTGACTATAGATCTTTAAATATACCAGAACCCATACTGTCCTTTTAATGAGTTTGGGGTTTCATCAGTTTAATGACATGACTAGCCAACTCACAAATTATTCATCATTCCCAAATGACTGCTGATGCCATTCTCCTCAAATAGAGGGTCCATTAAATCCCAGAATCATAAGTCAACTAAAATTCCCATATCGCATCCTGCCTAACGTGTCCAGTTGTCATGAAGTCACCACATGTTGTTACCAGGGGGTGTTTTGGCATGAGACGGAAGAACTGTGTAGCCCATTAAACTCTCCACCGGGCAGAGTCTAACTCTGAAAACAGCTCAGGATGGGTTGTCATAAATGACACATCTGCACCTCGAAATAGAGTTATTTGTGATGTGTGACTGCCATATAAACCTGCATCCCCTTCTCCTGAGGTTACCCTGTTTCCATGACAGTTTTCTTTTTTTTTTTTTAATTTTTTTTTTAACGTTTATTTATTTTTGAGACAGAGAGAGACACAGCATGAACGGGGGAGGGGCAGAGAGAGAGGCAAACACAGAATCAGAAGCAGGCTCCAGGCTCCGAGCCACCAGCCCAGAGCCCGACGCGGGGCTCGAACTCGCGGACCGCGAGATCGTGACCTGAGCTGAAGTCGGACGGCCAACCGACTGAGCCACCCAGGCGCCCCTCCATGCCAGTTTTCGTAAAGGTACTTAATTTACATTCACATTTCAGTATATTCAATGAGGCAAGTCAAGTTCTGACCTTCTGGAAGGGTGGTAGCAATTGGCTTCCTATCATATTGTGGCAGCTGCCTTTATTTGTCATCTCATTTCAAATTAATACCATGTGCAGAAGCTAAGCAGCATGATTCAAGTGTAATAATCATCTCAAGATGTATTTTAATGTTTATTTATTTTTGAGAGAGAAAGAGAGACAGAGCGTGAACAGGCGAGGGGCAGAGAGAGAGGGAGACACAGAATCCGAAGCAGGCTCCAGGCTCTGACCTGTCAGCCCAGAGCCCGACATGGGGCTCGAACCCACAAACCGTGAGCTCATGACCAGAGCCAAAGTCGGACACTCAACCAACTGAGCCACCCAGGCGCCTTTCAAGATATATTTTAAATTTTTTTTTCAACGTTTATTTATTTTTGGGACAGAGAGAGACAGAGCATGAACGGGGGAGGAGCAGAGAGAGAGGGAGACACAGAATCGGAAACAGGCTCCAGGCTCTGAGCCATCAGCCCAGAGCCCGACGCGGGGCTCGAACTCCCGGACCGCGAGATCGTGACCTGGCTGAAGTCGGACGCTTAACCGACTGCGCCACCCAGGCGCCCCCAAGATATATTTTAAAATAAACAATGGAGTAAATATATAGTCCACAAATCATGCACCCGATGTTACCTCTAACTGGTTGAATCTCAGGTGTGCATTGTTATCTTTTCTCCCCAGATAACCCAGATCAAGTTTTTAGGCAGAACCCATAAATCAGCATAAGTCAGTTTTCATTCTTTGTATGAAACAGGTCAGATGACTTTTCCCATATTTGCCATTAGTTAATACTGGATCTTAGATAGCTGAGTATTATTCTCTTGCTCTGAGATACCCTTATGGGAATACAATTACTGCATCTTTCCCTGGAATTACAAAACAAATATTAGGTGCCCTTCCCATTTGCTATAAACTTCATTTGTCTTGTATTACCTGTTTTAACATATCCTTCCTTCCTTGATTGGGTGCTCTGTTTGTTCATAATTCTTACGTATAAACAGACAAAACATAAATATTTGTCTCATAGGCCCTGTCTTTATCCTGTTTCCAGGAAGAAGTCTTAGGACCTGATCGGTCAAAAGTTATAAGACTGTCCTTGCCACTTGGTAATGAGGACATAATCATAATTATGTCGAAATTAGCTACCAGGGCCAAAATGTTACCCACTCTAGAGTTCATTTAGAAATTTTCGCTGAAAAATGTATCTAATAGATATTGTATCTTATGTATCAATATCATTCTCTGTCTGGCCATAGGCAAATGCAGCTGTTGTCTTAGGGTCACCAAGTCAAGTAGATGAAAAGAAAAATTTTGCAAGGTTGGAGAGATAAAAAGTTGCATAATTGTGTTATGTATTCAGTGAAACCTCTACTCAGAGGGTATTAAGGAACATGACATATCTGGCTTAAAATATTTTCCTGCTTACAGCCATACATTTGTAAAGTGTGCATGTTGATCAGAAGAAACTGGCAGTCCAAACTGATAGCCTGTTTGCTATGGCAAACTTCAATTGTATTTTCTACAGTTGCTTCTGAAACTGAAGAAACACATGAAAAGCAAAAACAAAAACAACTCTAAATTCTAAACAATACCCATGTTTAGCTCCCTGTGGCTATTGGCAGGAGTCCAGAAATTCCAGCGAAGTGCAGGCCTCTGAGGAATAAGAATATTATCCAGAGCCATCTTAAGGAGATTTCTTTCCTGTTGGTACCAGCAAAGAAGCGGAGTCTCTTACCACATTAGTGGTTTTACTTGATTTGAGGTTTTACTTCGCACAGCCTGATCATACCTATGCATGCTCATTTCATGAACTCAGGATACTAATTCTAGGGATCTGATTAAGGTATCTCTGATGATTTCCAATCTGTTCTCAGCATCTCTTCTCAGCAGGCAAAAAAAAAAAAAATTTTTTTTTTCAAGGATTTCTACACGAATTACCTTGAATCTTTCTGTAAATTCCCAAGGAGACATCCATAACTGAGTAACTTAAACAGCAGTGGAGTTTGTCATCTAGTTAGCTAGAATTTCCCTGTCTCATTATACTCTAAGGCCATTGGCTATAGCACAAGGTCTGCAAATGTCCAAGTGGTGTTCTCTGTGTGGGAGCCTAATTCCACCTGTGTCTGTTAAATGACTTGCTCCCAGCTTCACCTAGTGTGAACTGTTTCTTCTCCTTCCCCACTAGGGTTTTATACTGTCTCTCAAGTATATTGCAACCAATTTCCAAAACCGCCATTCAACCCTAAGTTCTAGAACACTAATTGTGGACCAAATAGCATAATGGGCTTCGCTGAAAGGGAAACATAGGGTTTAGACCGTACTGAGATGGGGAAAGGGAGATCCCTCAAGGGCTCTATCATAGGACTCTGCAGGCAGTGAAGAAACCAGGTCTGCATGAACTCAAAATGAGACTTTCCTGATCATGGTTCTGGATCTATCAACTCCACTTGATCTGTGAACATTGCTACACTGCTCTCTCTATGGAATGTCTCCAACATTACCTGAGACATGACAGCTAAAAGTTCTCAAAATTATCTGATATATTTCTGTGGCAGTGAACAGTTGTTACTCTTTCAACACCCAGTAACAAATTGGAAATTGTCTCTCAAATAAGCTATAGAATTGGCTGTGAATGGCAATTTTAGAGCTCCAAATGCAAGAAATTTTGGATGGATAGTGGTATTTAATTTCTACCAAAGGGTTCAGTCTGTATGAGTTCTGGTTGCAAGCACATTTAAAACCTTGCGAACCATTTAGAATGTACCAGTGAGAATTCGTAAATAACTGACTTTTGTTAATCTTTTTATATGTCTACTTAGAGCCAATTCCAATTTGGAGTTCATTTTGGTGACTTTAAGTATAGAAGCCATCAAAGCTCCTAAGTGGGAAGTGGGGTTCATTAGAACCCCGCTAGTCTAGCTAGACATTGGAATATTATGGTTAGAAAACTATGAATGTGCCTAATGTTTTCAAGGATACCCATGATTGAATTGGCAAACATACTAAAAATTTCACAAATTGGGCTGAACCTTGCTTGATATTTAGCTGGATTCTTCATGCACGCTCTTTTTTGCTAAATGTATAACTCCAGTCCTTAACTTGTCTTACCCTTCTTTCCATTAGTCAGTAATCTTGGTATTACCAGTGCAGGGCACTAACTTATAATTAATGATTTTCAAATCCAAATATCTACAACACTAGATTAAGACTGTACTAGTGAATTCAAATATCTTTGAGTCTAGACCATGAAAGTATAATGCATATCATTCACATATTTATAGCCATGACACCTTTTGCGGGTTCTAGGCTCCATTGAAGCCTTCCTCGATTCTTCCAACAAAATTTTATTCAGATATTTCTGGATGGAAAATGGTGTCAAGATATAAAATGAACTGATTAGTATCTTTTTCAACTTTTTTTAAAAAACTGAAGAGGTGAAAGACATTGTCATCTTGTTTAGTCAAGAATTAAAACCATGAAGTTCAATAACTAATGCAGTCTGGTGTAAAGAAAAAATAAGATTTTTAGAATCTGACACAGGTGGGTTTCTATCTTCTCTTTACCATTTAGAAACTGTAATATGCAATATTGAGAAACTTAATTGAACTATCTTTACTTGCAAACTATTTTCATCACATTTTTCTTTTAAATTTTTTTAATGTTTATTTTTGAGACAGAGAGAGACAGAGCATGAACGGGGGAGGGTCAGAGAGAGGGAGACACAGAATCTGAAACAGGCTCCAGGCTCTGAGCTGTCAGCACAGAGCCCGACACGGGGCTTGAACTCACGGACCGCGAGATCAAGACCTGAGCCAAAGTCAGACGCTCAACCGACTGAGCCACCCAGGCAACCTTCATCACATTTTTTCAACTGAAAAATGCGAATGCTAATATATCTTACATTGCAAGACTAAGAATTAGAGAACATTTCTGGAAAGTGTTTCCCAATACAGTAGTCACCCCCAAAAGATTAGTGTTATTAGTATCAATAGACGAAGGTAATACTTATATGAGATAAAATAGCATAGAATATTAAGAAAGAATTATTTGGTGGATTGGGTTAACCAGTCAGTTCTGTTGATACACAAATCATAAAAAGACAAGATCAATTGGATGTCTTAATCGAATAGATAGTGATTATGTCAGTATCTAAAATAATAGAGTAAGGGGTATCTGGTAGCCCAGTCAGTTAAGAGTCTGACTTCAGATCAGGTCATGATCTCACAATTTGTGGGTTTGAGCCCCGTGTCAGGTTCTGTGCTGACAGCTCAGAGCCTGGAGCCTGTTTCAGATTCTGTGTCTTCCTCTCTTTCTGCCCCTCCCTCACCCATGCTCTGTCCCTCTGTCTCAAAAGTAAACATTTAAAAAAACAAAAATAAAAATAAAATAACAGAGTTAAATACCAATATTTCGTGCCTTATATTTTAAGCCAAACAGAAGTATTTTCCTCAGTGATTTTCTTTGGTACCTGACTTGATTATAAATTCATAGAATTTTAATATTTTATTATGACCCTGTATAAAGGAATATTTTGAAATATATATATTTCTCCAAACTCATAGCTTCTAGTCTTCTTCCTAGAATGAAGTCTCATTGTATCTGTATAATAGTATTTTACATTACTGATTTGAGAGAGAATCACAAGGATTGTGCAAGGGAGAATCTTTGTAAGAAAAATAATTAGATTTCCACCTGTTTTTAATTTACATGCAAAATATAAGTTTCACAATTAGTTCCAAATGGGGAGATTCACTCTGGAGAGTCTGTCTCTTGACCTCCTTCCTCCCACACAAACCCATCTTCTTACCTCTATCCAGGCAGGTGTAAGAGGCAACAACAATGTAGACAAGAATGTTGGTACCAGAGATTCAAGTCGGTCCCCTATGAAATATGAAATACGTTACAACATAGACATCCTCTTATTAGCAAGAGTAATTAACCATGATCTTTTGCTCATAGCCCATTTCCTCTGGCAACTGTGGCATGCTTTGCTGACACTGCAGTAAACTTCTCGCTCACTAGTAGCAAATTTTGATCTCTATGTTTCTGTAGATAACAAGACTCTGCACATAAGGATCAGCGATTACAACATTTTACATTCCTTTTGTGCCAGGGGCTTTATTGTTCTCTTGCTTCTTTTTATTCCTCTCGATCACCTGTAGCAGCTTCTGCCCATTTAGATTAATTCTTTAGGCCAGGGAATCTGTTCTGCACTACTGACTTAGTGTGCTTTAATAAAAACATGCTGATGGCAAACTGATAGTTCTGAGATTACCTTGATCACAGAATTAAGATTTATTTTCAATAAGTTTTTATTTCACAATTATTAGCAGGGGATTTATACTTGAATTTATATCATAATTTAAAGAAAAAATTTTTTTAATGTTTTTATTTACTTTTGAGACAGAGAGAGGCAGAGCATGAGCAAGGGAGGGGCAGAGAGAGAGGGAGACACAGACTCCGAAGCAGGCTCCAGGCTCTGAGCTGTCAGCACAGAGCCCTGTGCGGGGCTGGAACTCACAGACCCTGAGATCATGACCTGAGCCAAAGTCAGATGCTTACCGACTGAGCCACCCAGGTGCCCCTATCATAATTTTTAACTGTTAAAGGTTATGTTTTAAAATGATAGCAAATGCATTATGAACACAAAACCCTGCTGAAATATCTACTATCACGGAAAGTTATCTTAAATGAAAATATAACAGGATTTTGTCTAAACATACTAATATTTTGTAAAGGGAACTTTTGTGTTTGTATCACATTTTTGAATCCATCTTCAGTAGAGAATTAAATATGAATACATGAAAATATGAAAGATCGCACGCATTAAAACTATAATTCTCCTTTTTCACAAAGCTAATAATTTTGCAGGTGTATAAAACTAAAAGCAAAAGGGTAAAGGAAGAAAACAGATTTGGGAGACATACAATTTATCATTTAAAAAATCAAATTGAAGAAGAAAAGTACTGGGTAACACAAAACAGAAGACATGAATTTCTATCACTAGACCTGATTTCTTCCAAATACCTTTCTATCTCTTTCACTAAGGAAATAAATAATCTGTCACTCGACTTAGAATGTGGAAAGACTAATGTAGAATTTTATGTAAATAAGGAGTCAGACTTCACATTTAGAGAAGAGCGGTTTAAATTCAAGTTGTGGAAAGTTCCACAGGCTGTGTAAGCTCTCCAGTTGGAGGACTCCGGAGAAGCATGTCTGAGTCTGAGAGCCAAAAGTAAGTACCATTTCAGTCTCTGCCTCCCCACGGAATAGTGGAACACCATCAGGCAGAAGGAAAGGCAGCTGCCACATGGTCACGTGGCGGTCCCAAGCGCCCGCAGAAGGGGATCAGGGCCCCTTCTGTTATCAGACCAAAGGGCAAAAAAAAAAAAAAAAAAAAAAAAAAAAAAAAAATTACAGTCCTTTCTCGGGTGGAAAAAATATCCTCAGAAAACTGAGGATTTAGGGTAGGGACAGAGAGACAGATTCAGATTATTTGAAGAAACGGTTATGAGCCTGGTCCATTACACTAACTCCTTTTACAAATACGCTAAAAACACACAGTGTAGTCTCTGCCTTTATGAACCTTGTATTTGAGAGAGAAGGTAAATCCACATGAAACAGGTCTTCAGTTTCTAAAATGGACAATAGAAGAAAATTATACATACATACAAACATTCATATATATATAATATGAAATATAAATTTAATCCGCCTTTAGCTTAAATGCTCCTTGGTGTTCAGATTTCACCTACTTGAAGCTCAGATTTCACCTGCTTGAAGCATATTGACAATGCTTTAGAAAAAGAAAACTTTATTTCCCGATTTTTTTTGAGAAGATTACTAATCAGAAAGTGCAAAATGCGTAATGACATACTTTGCTTTTATTATTGAGCAATTAAACCAAACACATTCCTGTTAATCAATCAGGTGAGCATGAAGGAGGTGCTCTCAGCAAGATCCTCTTTTCAGTCCTTCAGCAGTTACTGTAAATGGGAGGCTACTAGGATTGCAGCACTCTGTGTATGCAGAAAAGGGCTCTCCCACTGTGCTTTTGTGTGGCTTCCCTTCCAAAGGATGAAAAAAAAGAAATATTACCCTCTATGCTATAATATTGCTCTCGGTGTTTGGCGCTGTGCAGGCTTTCAGATTCCTGAACTAGAAAGGGATGCTTTATTAAGAACAGAAAATAAAAACTGGCTTTCAGTGTTGTCTAAAGTGAAATGTGGGATTATTGACTTAAGTAGAAAAAGAATGATTCAATGTTAATGGCCAAACTATGACTCAGAAATTAGATCAAATACTATTTTCAAATACTAACGACATCAAACAAAATTTGCACTGTGATATAAAACAATATAACTATTGTTATAACAAATGGAAAAGAACAATTTCTCCTTGTTAAGCTTTTGTTCTACATTAGTATTTCCCAAAATAACAGTATTAGAGGTACTGATTTCAGAGCATTGCAAAAGTCCTCACAGAAAGAGTGGAAGGTAGAGGTAGGAAGGGAGAAAGGCAAAAAGAGAAAAAAAGAAAAAGAGAGAGAAAAGGAAAGAAGTAACTAATTGAGAAACAGAAATATTAATATTGTAGAGTCACACAATGTAGGCTATGAAATTAGAGTTTTCTATCAAATAAGACAAAATTTACATTACCTTCGATACTAATGTAAATGAGTATGCTTGAGGCTCAAATATTTTTGTATACATATATATTTTATTTTTGCTTTGGTTACTGCCTAGTAAACTTTTAGGAGGCCCATGATTTCATCTCTCTAGATTCATCATACTCTGCTCTGGAGTTTCGACACTGGTAAATATGCACAGAACACTCATTGCCGTTTTACTGCTAAGAATCTCACTCCAGACAAAGCAAAACTGTTCTCCCTTAATGTGTTTTGCAACGTATTGTCTGTGCCCAAACCCCCTCCATGTTATAGCCTTTTAACATGGAGGGCCTAAACTTTTGGAAAAAAATTATCAAGTGTACACATGCCTCTTTTTTAAATTCTATATCTCATACTTTTACCTGTACCCTGTTTAAATGGAAAAAGAAAAATACGAGGACAAAAAGTTTACCATATGTCTTAGTCTGTCAAGGCTGCTATAACAAGATAGCACAAGTTGGGTAGCTTGTAAATGATAGAAATTTATTTCTCACAGTTTGGAGGCTATAAGTCCAAGATCAGGGTATCAGTATGGTTCCGTGAGAGTCCTAGATTGCAGACTCCTGTACCCTCACATGGAGTAAGGGGAGCAGGAGCTCTCTGGGCCCTCTTTTATAAGAGCACTAATTCCCTTTTTGAGGGCTCTGCCCTCATAACCTCTCAAAGACCCCACCTTCTAATTTTTAGAATGCTGTCATCATATCTACATCATCTATCTTAGAGCATCTTTGTCCTGTAGAGTAGATGCCTGTGAACTAGTTTGACAATTGGTTCCAAAATTTCTTGCTTTATCAAATCTGAAATTGACCCCTAAGATTCTTTACCAATTACTTCTACCATCTCACACCACCCTACATTCTCTCATATGTCTAATCCTAAAAAGTTTGTTCCAGCCCCTCAAAAACAGATACAACATCTCTCCCTTTCTTTCTTTCTTTTTCTTTCTTTCTTTCTTTCTTTCTTTCTTTCTTTCTTTCTTTCTTTCTTCTTTCCTTGCTCCTTCTTTCTTTCTTTGTATTTTCCCTTTCTTTCTCTCCCTCTCTCTCTCTCTCTCTCTCTCTCTCTCTCTCTCTCCCTCTCTCTCTCCTCTCTCTTGCATGCATTATTATATGCCAGTAACTCAGACTGTTCTTATATTCTAATACTTAGAACAATACCTAGTATGGAGTAGGCTTTCAATAAATCTTTATGAAAGGAATGAATGACTGTATGAGTGAACAAATGAATGTCAAACATGAAATTGGGGCCTGTTATAACACAGGCTATCCACTGTGGCAACTTTTGGATCAGAATAGAAAGAGAAAGATATAGTCAGTAGTCTTAGGAAAATTGGAGATGTGAATAGGATGAATCTGCTGATCATGAAGGCACTTTCATATTTTGAAATCTGGAAATGTAACTAGATGGTCTTATCTGAGAACCCTACACTTAATTTGAAAAGACTCGAGGCAGGTGTACTATAAGGTATAGTGTCTGGGAAGAATCATACTAGGATGATAGGATTAGATAGGAAGGGAGGATGAGAGGTAAGTTGGTGTTTGCTTGTCCATTTGTGTATTTTCAATCTGTGATGCTACAACATTAAAAGTCAGATGCTACAGAATATGGGCCATTTATCTCATAATAAAGACTTTACTTCTGGGTTTTCAATGGCTGGTCTTAAAACATCACTGGTCCTGAATACAGGGTAAACCATGATTCTTACATTAATTGCCATCTCCTATCCTTGACCATTAAACATGCCAAACATTCAGACTCCTGAAATTTTTTCCCTGATGATCAAAAGTGATGATTACTTTGGATGATACTTTTGCTGTTATCACAATGTGTGAACTAAAGTAGACGCTCAAAACATACGAATACCCTTTTCCTAGTGGATGTAAATTAATCTTCACTTGCCTCAAAATTTACCACTATTTGTATAGTCTCTACAATAGGATAAAATAAAGTAGAACAAAAAGAAATTTAAATATTGTACAGTAACATTTTTGACTTAATCTTATAGCCTCCCTATGGCTTCTGAATACACAAGGTTGAAAGAAGTCTAAAATATGAATTTTTAAAATATTCTTTGAGATAACCTGAAAGAAACAACAAATAGCGATAGCTGACTTTACCAATGCAGGGCTATAGAGATCACCTTCTTTTATCCTATCCATTGTATGCAGAATAAAGAACACATTTATTATGTAAAGGTCTGGCTTCGTGAATG